CGACCCGGAGAGCGGTGTGAAGCGCGGGCTGAAGGCGAGACATCTCAGCATGATGGCCTTGGCTGGTATCATCGGGCCGGGATTGCTAATTGGTGCGGGCGGCGCGCTTTCCAACGGAGGACCGGCATCCCTGCTTATCGGATTTGCGGTGATTGGTATCATCGCCTTCAGTATAATGCAGAGTCTCGGCGAGCTCACAACACTGTACCCGAGCGGCGGTGCTTTCACCGGATTAGCCGATCGCTTTGTCGACAAGGCGTTTGGAGTTGCGCTGGGGTGGAACTACTACATCATCTGGATGTGCGTGTTGGCGAACGAGTACAACGTTCTGTCGAGCATCTTTGTGTTCTGGAGCGACAAATTGCCGCTTTGGGGATACTTCCTCATATTCTGGGTATGTCGAATGATCGATTTGGGCTATGATCCAGCCAACTTACAAGAATCAGACTCTCTTCCTTGGTTTTCAGCTTCTTGGAGTCGAGGCATTCGGCGAGGCCGAGTTCTGGCTGGCTCTGTTGAAGTTGATTGGCCTCGTGGCTTACTTCATCTTCTCTATTGTGTAAGTATTGAGCTCGATAGAAGGAGCTGCCAATACTGATCATTGTCCAGATATGTTTCTGGTGGAATTCCAGGACAAGATGCAATTGGCTTCCGCTATTGGCGGGACCCCGGCGCTTTCACGGATGGGTTTAGAGGTGTGGCTAAGGTGTTCGTCTTCTGCTCAACCTTCTATGCTGGTTGTGAGTCGGTAGCAGTTGCAGCTACTGAGACAAAGAACCCTCGAGTTGCAGTGCCTCTAGCTATTCGCCAGGTCTTCTGGCGCATCATCTTCATCTACATGGGCTCTGCATTTTTCTTCGGCCTCACCTGCCCCGCCAACGCCGATGAATTGGTCAACGGTGGCTCCCGTGCTGTCAAGAGTCCAATGACGGTTGCCATTCAGAACGCGGGCTGGGAGGGCGGAGTCCATCTCATCAACGCGTTCATCTTCGTCACCTGCCTGTCTGCCTGTAATAGCAGCATTTGTAAGATTTCTTCCATCATCTAGACGGCTATCAGAGCGAACTGCTGACATTGCGCTCCAGACATTGGCTCTCGGACGCTTCTGTACATGGGCCAAGATCGCAAGGCCCCGAAGATTCTTGGTAAGACAGATAGCCGTGGAGTTCCAATCCCGGCAATCGTCTTTACGAACCTCTGCGGAGCTCTATCGATGATGAACATCAGCACTGGTGCTAGCCAGGCCTACTCGTACATCGTCAACCTCAGCGGCGTGTCAACCTTCCTGGTCTGGGGTTCGATCTCGTTCATTCACATCCGCTTCCGCCAGGCATGGAAAGCTCAGGGCCACGCCGAAAGCTCTCTACCGTTTATTTCAATGCTGTACCCCTGGAACGCCTATTTTGGGCTGGCAGCCAACGTCTTCCTCGCCTTTGTTCAAGGATGGACGACCCTGTCGCCTTTTGATGCTGGCTCCTTCGTGGATGCCTACATCTTGCTGCCGTTATTCCCTCTCATCTACTTTGGCTACAAGTTCTGGTTCAAGACTCATTTCTGGAGAGTCGATGAGATTGATCTTCTCTCCGGCCGCCGTCGGGATCTGGACGAGTCGCACGAGATTGAGACGGGAGAATATGACTTGGACAGACTTCCGTGGTGGAAGAAAGTGCTCAAGAGCTTTTAGATGTGATACCCTATGTTATTCTTGATAGAATAATGGATGATTCCTTTGATTTGGAATGTCATCGTTCATAATTTTACTGTCGAATTGGTTTCGAGGGTGCCAAGGACATAGTCCACCATCAGATAGCAATTCCAAGCTACCTTGTACCAGGTCTACCAGCTCGAGGGGCTTTATCTTTAGGGGTCTAGGTTGCCTGAGCTCAATATCTTTACCGAGTAAGATGACGTCGGTGAAGGGTATGGACCCTCCCAAATCGACACCAAAGGCCCGCTAACTTTGTAGCCCTTGTGCCAAGAGTCCATCAGCGTAAAGCTGGCTACAAAGTCAGCGTGCCATCTTTTAGAGCATCACAACTAGCCAACAAACGCTGGTTTCCACCAAAGTTAAGTCTTCTTGATTTGCTACAGTTGGCCATATAGTTGCTAACTATACAACGTGTGACTAATAATGTTATCACAAGTACGAAGGGCAGAACGCCGTTTCTGTTCTCCCAGCCCATCCTTGCCTGGTCCAAGTTTCCTGTCCCGAGGCCTCCTATTACCAGGGGGCTTGTGCACAGTCTTAAGCCTCAATCTGGAGTGTCTGGAAATCGGCGGGCACGGCGTCGGCACCGGCGCCGGTTTCGGCAATCTTCTCCTGTAACCGGGGCAAGCAAGTCAGCATCTATTTCAAGTGCCACACACATTGTCATCTTTTTTCCAGAGCTCCAGTGGAAACTCACCAACTCCTGAACTTTCTCATCCGCCAGGTCGGCGATGTTGTAAGCGGTACCGTCCGCGAGACCGAGCACATCAGGCTTGACAACGGCCTCGCATTTCCCGGCACCGGGCTGCTCGGCGGGGCATGACAGATCGTCGGCGCGCTTGCGATTGAGGAACCAGTACTTTCCCCCGGTACGGTCACCCCGGGTCGTGTACGGCAGGCAGATGGTGGTGCCACCGTTGGAGTCATACTGACCCCCGGTGAAAGAGCAACCGCCGCCGGTATAAGCCTCAGCGCGAATGCGCCAGTTGCTCGGGATCTGCTCGCCATCCATTAGTTCTGAGACTTTTGTGGGCTGAGAGAAAGAGGTTTCACGCACGGCAACCACAGAGATGCTCGACCTGCCGCTGGAGCCTGAGCTGCTGAACGAGCAGCACACGTTGGGGTTGATGTTCACACAGGCCACATAGGCCCCGGCGCAGCTGCTGCCGATGTGAGCCCTGATGTCGATGGCAGATGCGGTGGCCGCGAGGCCAAGGAGGACCGAAGAGACGGAAAAGTACATATTGGATATGTGCAGTGGTGGGTTTTGGTGTGATGCTGCTTAGTTTGAAAGAAGAGGAGCTGATGGTGATGGAGGAAGCTAAACAGAACCGTCTCGGGGGAGAAATCACCTGGCTTTATACCGTTTCTTGAACATGTTGTCCATCCTACAACCTCTCTCATTCTGAGCAAGAGAAAGAGATCTCGATACCTCAACTCAGCATCATTCAATATTATGCGAGGCCCCTCCCGTGCCGTCTTACCACCTTGTATGTAGGGCGTCAGCTGGTTGGACATCGCTTGAGGTATCACACGCATCTATGGACAAGTGAGGGTATCGCCACCGCCCGAGCCAAAGTTTCATCACAGCCCGCTCCTTTTTCTGAGCTATTCTCATCTTGAAATACAGTTTCTGTTTATATCAAGATCACAATCATTGATCCCAATTAGTGGCAATTTTTGCGTGCAGTCTGACCAGTGCCTGACTAATAAGACGAGCTGGTGAGGTCCTTTTCTCCCCCACATGCTTCTCATTTATCGGCCTCTTGGCATCAATACTTGAAGCATTGGTGTGCAAGCTGAGAATGATTGCCGTTTTGGGAGCCCATAGCGCTTACGCCGAGAATTTCCTCGTTGCATCTCTTTCTCGACATAGACCAGCGGTTTGCCCAGACGTATACAAGATAACATTGCAGACGATGGATTGTCAGCCTAGAACTCAACCCCGCAATTTCTGCGCCTGAGACCTGTAAGAAGACAGCAAATGAAAAGTTCCACCTTCATTCAGCTTACTGTGTAGGTCAGTTTAACCCATTCGAGTTGTTACAGTCCGAGGAGTAAGCAGACAATAAGTTAAACGCCTCAGCCTATGGGACTCAAAGCAGCTTACTATGCAGGAGGTTTTAGTCTATTCAATGGACGGTTTGTTACTACCCATACTGCAAGCATAAGCAACAGAGACCGCCCCACAAAGATACTTGGCAGTTAGAATTGATTGAGCTGATTGATTGATTGATTCTATCATCCCGCTCGGTCCGGCCCGCCCCACTTCGCCAATCCAAACCATTGACCAGCTGCATTCAATTCCCCGTTTTGCATCTTAACCTCTTTCTACATTTGGCTGGTTTTCTTCTGACGTAAGTCTTGTAATAGGTTCTGTCGAGACCTGGTGCAGCATACCGTGGTTCTGTGTACCCACAGTCTCCCACTAATGGTCAGCTTTGTCTAGGTTGCGGCGCGATTCTGAAGTGCCCAAGGATCTCGGCCTGTTGCATGAATCCGACGGCTTTCGTGCCTCTCTCGGATTAAGCAGTTAACGTCTGACACTCTTCGGTAAACGTCCTTGAGTCCAATGGTTTTGTTCAAATATGCATAAGAACCGAGCTCTGTCGTTTGCCCAGCCGCTCATGGAGGTACAGCACCTTCTTAGTTGGTGTTGGTGTGTGGCAAATGGTGGTTTTGCCTCGTTTCTCTCTTGCCCACTGGACCTGCCACGCCGTGTTTGTATTTCTATACGTGTACGTCTAGGAGTGAGTATAGCTTTTGATATGTCCGATCTGGTGTCCGTTTGGCCGTCCCTTCGCCGTATGGCGGCTTGTTTGGCGGCAGTGTCGGCGTCTTCGTTGCCCTTCATCCCTGTTGGGCGGGTACTCATCGGGTATGCTGGTGCCTCAAAGTACGTCTACTAGGTATTTGATTCACAGAAAAGCTGCAGGTCAAGGTGAGAGAGAAATTTAATGAACTCCGCGTGCAATGTTTAAATTTGGGGGCTAGAACCCCCTCCTACTTGTAAATTTGTTGTTGTTGTTGTTGTTCTATTTAACGCCGTGGCGGCAAAGGCGCAGCCGCCCTTGCGGCCGACCTCCCGAGGGGTATATGGCGTGGAGGGCCGCAGGCTCAAGCTATATACTCTACAGTACACGCCTCTTCCAAACGTCCTCCAAATCTTGCCTATAGGCTGCTACGTGTTCTATCCGTCCCTAGTTCCCGCTGGTTCCCTAGTTCCATTATACTCGTCAGTTCCTCTACGAGGAGGGGGTTCGTTACTAAGGCCTAGGTTCAGGCCTAGGCCCTAGTACCGCGGGCAGATCTTCTGGAAGAAGTCTGTCACGCAGAGAAAGGCCCAGAAGCCTTCATGATCAGTGGTTAGCCCCTTGTAGTACCGATCAAGAGATCCTATTGGTCCTATAGGCTCCTGTGGACTAGAAGGGTGGAGGGTGGGCCACTGAAGCCTCCTCACTAAGGTCTTTCGGCAGTAGACTAGGTGGTCTACCTCCTTTGCCTCCCCACAGGAGCAGGTAAGCAGTGCTTCTGTATGGTTAAAGCGTTGATGGTATTGTTCGAAGTCTCCATGGCCTGACCGGGCTGCTAGGAGATGATGGAGTATAGCCCGTGGTAGGGCTAGTTCAGGAGGGCAGGCGAGGGAAGCCTTAAGCCCTAGTTGGGTGTAGCAGGGTGTTGCCTCTTGCTTCCACCATTTTCTATACTGGCGGCATATGCGTTCTCTAGCTAGCCGTTTGATCCCTGACAGGGTGGCTAGTTGGCCCCTAGGGGCTGGCAGGGTTGTGCCCTCCTTGGCTAGGCTGTCTGCTTCCTCGTTCCCTTTGATGCCTTGGTGCCCTGGGGACCAATGGGTTCGTATGTCATACATCCTAGCTGCCTCTTGGATCTCAAGGAAGGCAGCTTGTGAGGAGTCTGGGACCCTGCCTCGGATCCCCTGGATAACGCTGGTATTATCGATACAGATGTGTATAGGCTGGCCCTGGGAGGTAAGGAGGGCTCGTCGGAGCCCTGCCCTCGCCCCCTCAGCCTCCCCATCAAACACTTCTGCTAAGCCGAGGCGGCCGCAGCCCTGGGCTATACGCTTGTTCTTACGGTATATAACAAAGCCAAACCCTGTGGCGCCATTAGGGGCTTTAGAGCCGTCTGAGTAGATAATAGTATGCTTCTCTGGTACAGTCTTAAGCCAGGCCTGGAAGATCCTCGCTGCTATTTCCTTCGTCTTTGTGGCTATAGGGTTATAGGACCCTGGGAGGTATTGCGGCTGTAGGAGTGCTGGCCTTGGACACTTGGGTAAGAGGCCAGCTGTTCTTTGGAGCCTGGTCTGCTGCCGCCCTGGCTGCAGAAGCCTTGGGACTAAGGGATGTTGTTGGTCAACCTTCTGTAGGCGTGTAGCAAAGCGTAGTCGCGCTGCCTCAAGGGCTACCTCTGCTGTAGGTAGGCCAGCATCTCAGATGAGGGCACTGGTTGGTGTGGTCCTCCAGACAGGTAGGATAGCCCTTGCTGCTGCTGTGATAACTTTTCCAACTCTACAGGCTAGGCCCTTCTGTCCTGTGCCAACTGTAGCTATCTGTAGAGTAGTGCTACTGCTAGTATTGGTGCTGCTGTTCAGGGCTGGTCTGGTCAGGCCTGCATACCAGGTCTCCGCTCCATATAGGGCTATTGGGAGGGCGCAAGCAAGAACTGCTTTTCGAACTGCAACTGCTGGGAGCCCCCCTTTAGTGTTTGTTAGGTGCCGTAGGAAATAGGCTACCTTCTTTGCTGCTGCTACCTTTATTGCTACATGGTGTTGGAAGGTGAGTCTCCTATCAAACCAGACCCCTAGCTATCTTATAGGCTTAGTTGAGGCCTTAATAGTTAGGCCTCTCGCTTAGATATCTGGTAGGTCTGTTGTCTGTTTATGTTTTCTGCTGAAGTGGATTGCCTCACACTTAGCTGGGTCAAAGGCGACTTTATTTTCCGTTCCCCAGCTGAGGATACTAGTGATCTCCTGGCCTAGGGCTGTAGCATTCTCTTCTAGTGAGGGGCTAGTAGCTACTAAGCCTATATCGTCTGCATAGCCAAACCGTAGCTTCTGATCGTCAGCTAGGATATCAGCTATATAGAGCAGGAAGAGGATAGGTGACAGCGGAGAGCCTTGCGGTAGTCCACAGGAAAGAGGGAAGTCCTCAGTAGTAGTATCCTCTAGCCTGACGCAGGCTGTTCGGCTGGAGGTGAAGGTGTAGACCAGTCTGATCAGGCTGCTAGGCCAGCCCTGCTGTCGTAGCCTGACAATAAGTCGGTTTCGTAAGACGGAATCAAACGCCCCCTTGACGTCCATTGTTGCTAGCGTCGCAGTAAGCCCTGTATCTAGAGCCCTCTCAATCTCATGGGTTAGACAGGTTGTGAGGTCAACTGCAGCCCTCCCTGGTAGGGCTCCAGCCTGCTGTGGGCTGGCAGCCCCTTCTAGGATAGTAAGGTAGGCTATCCTTTTTGCTATCAGCCGCTCTAAGCCTTTGCCTAAGCAGGATAACAGGGATATCAGGCGCCAAGACCCAGTCTTAGAGAAGTCTGTTTTCCCCGGCTTCTGGATCATAACAACCTCTGCTTTGCGGAAGGGTCTAGGGAAGTAGCCTACCTGTACGCAGGCCTGGAAGAGCTGCTGTATAGGCCTAGCTACTAAACCCCAGGTGCATTATAGTAGCTTTGTAGTAATCCTATCAGTCCCAGGGGTTGTAGTCTCTGTTAGAGTAGCCTGGCGTACTTCCTCCATACTAACTATATCCTGCCAGGGTATAAGACGCCTTGCGACTACTGGAATAGCAAAGGGGTTCCCAGGTAAGTCGTCTGCAGCACTAAATCGCTCTAATAAGGCCTTTCGAAGGGCCTGAGCCTTATCGAGGCTATTGCTGATCGTCCGTCCTTCTACTATGAGAGGTGGGGCTTTAACTGCTAAGCTAGACTTCCGCCAGCCTAAGATTTTATATAGGTCTTGGTCTGTCTTAACCTCTTTAATCTTAGCTATCCAGTAGGCGCGTTTTGCCCTTCTGACGGTTGTCAGGAAGACTTTCTGCTCCTCTAGGACAGGGGGAGGTATAACTAGCCCTGGTTCTTGGGCCTGTTGGCGCCTAGCCTTAATAGCAGCTTGGTGGGCTTCTGAGCAGTCTTCTGTCCACCAGGGGGCTCCCCTGCCCTGGTTAGTCTGTCTCTTACCTACAGCTTGAACGGCTGTGTGGAAGAGACTAACCAGTTGGGCAGCTAGAGTGTCCAGCTCCGCTGGGCTTGGGTGTTCCCCTGGGGTAGGCAGGGCTGCAGCCCCAGCCTTTACTAGGTCGATAAATTGGGGTAGGGCTGACTCTGGGACTGAGAGGTGGCTAGTCTGGCGTCCCTGTTCCTGGGCCTTGCCTATAGGGATAATTGTTGTAATAGCTTGGTGGTCAGCCCCTAGGTGTAGGTGTGGGCTAATATAAGCTTCAGCAAAGGGGATATTTGAGAAGGTCAGGTCGAGGGTATGCCCATGAGTATGGGTAGGGGCCCCAACTTCTCCAATAAACGACAGATCATAGACTTCAGCCCACTCTGCAATATCGTCGCCCTGGTTCCGGCTAGGGGTCCCAGGTTCCCAAGAGGAGTGGCGGGCATTAAGGTCCCCAGCGATAAGGGCTCTCTCTGGCGGTTGATAATCTAAAAGGAGGCTGGTTGCTTGGTTTATAGGCTCATCTGGCGGCCTATATATATTCATAATAGTGAGGTCGCCAGCTTTCACCCATAAGATATCTCTTGATTGGGTAGGTCTTTGTTGCTGTATCTGCAGCCTTAGACCTTTACGTGTGTAGGTCATAACCCTAGGCCTTGTGTCTCTGCTGTTCCAGAAGTCAACTGGTACATAGGAGTTAAAGCCTCTTCTATTTCCTACAGTCCGCAATCCCTAACCTTTTCCCCAAAACAGGGAGAGAGAGTCTACTGGAGCCCTCTCAGTACCTAGGGGTCCTAATAGTCAAAGGGGTAGCCAGCCCCTTTAGCGGGCGTCCAGACCACCGGCTCGCCACCGCCCAGTCCTTAGCCACCCAAATAGAAGTTTGCACCTTAAGCAGGCCGCAAGGGCATATCCCTCTCTAAGCCTACCGACATGCGCGTCCGTCCTCTCGAGCCAAACACACCCCTTCTCAGGTCCTCCCCTACGTCCAGTCCACAATAGCGACACCCTACCAGCTTCCAAAGCGCGCGGCGCCATCCCGGCGCGAGCGGTGACCCAAGCGTTCCTCCCGTTATGCCGTGATACCCCAGGTACGATCCGAGTGAGGGCCGGGCCCAGAGGCCGGGCCCTAAGGCGATACTATATCCGACCGGTCCCCCTAGGGGCAATTCTTCAACACCCTCCTTCCTCCAGCAGCCTGAGTGCGAGTCGGGGTTGTTTCCTTTCTGTAGCCTGCTGCTCGAATGTGTTTGCTACGGCCCACTGGTTGTCCGAGGGTATAACCCCCCGGGCCAGCTTCCCGTTACCCGCCGCCGTCTCCGACCGTGCTTCCAGCCTCACAGCTGGTTTTCGGCAGGCCGACCATGTCTTGCCCTAGGCTGTCCTGAGGGCTACCCAGCCGGCGTAGCCTCCATCTATCCCATGACTAACCCGCCTCAGTGTCTGTCTGTCTGGAGGTATTTCCCAGATCTGGGAGGCGTGAGGGTGCCCTGTCTCTGCCCCGAGAAGCAGTGTCGGGTGGTTTTTACCTAGTTCCCTCGAAATTGGGCAGCTTCGCGTTCGCATTTCGGTTTTCGGTCTCTCGATATCTGTCGATTTTGCTGGTGTTTTGGTGGTTGGTGGCGCGTGTGAAAATTTTTGTGCGACGCCAAAATCCCTCACTTCTGGTCCGATCCCGCCCTTCCGCCGCACCAGAAAAACTTCGTGCGCAGCGCCCGCCACCACTTGCACTTGCGCGCCGTAACGTCTCTGCACTGGCTCTACCTTTAGAAAAGATAGGTTCCCAGGCGGCACCACGAGGAGGTTGCAGAGTCCGAATTTCGCCGCCCCTCCTACTTGTAAAGACGGCCACGCATGCTTTGCTTTCTCGGTTTAGCAGTCTTGCCTAATCAACTCTCATATCAATTGAAGGCCGAGCTGTACCCGGTTCCAGTAGTACTGTCAATATGCAATACATCCACAAAACCTGGACCGGCAGTACTTGTCTCCCGCGATGCCAACATGCGTTTCATCTGAGTACCACCCTGTCCGCCAGGCGCCGATCCCCAAACGAACTCCCCAAGCATACGCAGCTGCATCGGGAAATGGTCGTCGCCATAGTGCTGGATGACGTCTGCCTTGCTAAGCTTGGTCTTCAGGCTCGACCACCCACTCACATCAGCAGCCATGACCTCGCACTGTTGTTGCTTCTCATCATTCCACCAAGGTGGCAAGAGCTTGCCATTGACCGATCTCCTTGCCGTTTCCATGAAGCGTCGAAATCCAGCCTTTCCATCGCTGGACCGAGAGGCGTAGATGGAGTCTGGCTCCATGATACCGACGATCTTGGCGTCATCTTCCATGCGAAGGCGATAGCAGTCGATGAGGATCTTGTAGACGTCCTTCTCGGGGCGGTTGTGCAGGAAGGTACGCTTCTCCAGATTCGTGAAAGCATTCATGATAGGCGCCTCCAGACCGCGGCTTGGGGTCGGCCTGGACGGGTTCCAAGCTGTCGATGACGAGGGTGGCGCCCGACCGTAGGTAGTGTACCTAGGTGGCTCAGATGGATTGGCGGGGCGAGTCCGAGCTCATGACTTCTTGTGATTCTTCCAGTGAAGATTCTGGCAGCTCTTGGAGCAATACTTGACGTCGCAGCGGTCGCACTCTGCTGCTTCGTCCGGGATATCCTTCTTGCACTTCTGACAAGCCGCTGCCATGATGGACTGTGATAATAGGTGTTCATAACGAGATCTAAGGGTCAGCTTTGAGTGATTGATGTCCAGTTAACTCCCTTATCGGCGGTTTGAGTTGCGGGGTTGAGATTTGACACCGTGAAGTGGTATTGAAAATGAATCGGAATATCTCCGTTCACATCCCGTGCCCAATCGAATACCTGATTGCTCAGCCACCAATGATAGCTTAGTCAAAAGAGGAGCGCATGTCTTCACAAATGCTACATTCGGTCATATTGACCCACGGCCAGCTTCATAAGCAACTCTGGCCAGCGCTCGTTCTCAGCAGCAGATAATTTCACATCTTTGATTATTAAACACTAAATGGTATCTTGATGGTAAATGTAAGGAATTATTTTGAGTAATACACTGCCACATATTGTGCCTCCAACGTCCCTCCCGAAACCGTAGTCGCAATTGGTGTCTTTGATCCATAAATGGCATCTGGGAAACTCCCACCCATTGCCATGTTCAACAAGACAAAGTGAGCCTTTTGGGTGGTGTTTGCCCAGACAGCCGCTGGAAGCTGTGTTTGGGCGACACTATGAAGCAATTGGTCGTTCACATACCACCGGATAGCCTCTGGAGACTTGGTTCTATCGACCTCAACGGCGTACGTGCGAAATACTCCAGAGCAAGAGGAAGTCGCGGGACAATTCTTGCTGTTGCCGAGTCCGCTAGGCTCGTTGCATGGTCCGCCTGGGTTGGTGCCGCAGTGCAGAACAGCCCAAACTCGATTGACGTTGTTCACGTTCTCCATGATATCGATCTCGCCGACTGATGGCCAATTCCTGGATACATCGTGAGCTTCCAGATCATGAGCTGCAAATAAACTTAGGCTCACCAGTAGTTGCCACGGTAAGCGGCGCCTAAAGTCCAGAAAGCTGGCCAGTAGCCGACGCCTCCGCCACCGAGGTTGGGAAGCTTCAGGCTAGCTTGAACACGCATCTTCTTGCCTGCCGGAGCCATGAAAGTCTGCTTGGTCTCAATTCGGGCGGAAGTCCATGCGCCTTTTGCATCTTTGATCGCGGTAATCACCAGGTTTCCCTGGCCGTTGGTGGCGACATTACTGGGACTATTGGTGTAGGTTTGGACCTCCCCGGTTCCCCAGTTTGTTGGGCCTCCAGGGTAGCTAAGATCATTGTTAGATAACATGTTTATGGCATTTGAAGGGTTCAATGGCATCTCACCTGGTGCCGGTATCAAAGATCCAGTTTCCACTACTAGGCAGTGCACCGCGAGATCCGGTGAAATCATCAAACCAAGCCTTTGAAAAGCCTACAATATCTGGGACCTGTGCTTGAGCAACAGGTAGTGCCAGAAGGATGGCTGCCGTGAGATCAAAGGTGCGCATGGCTCTATCGGTCTTGGGAAGCTAGTTCGCTGTTAGCCTTGTAGATCCATATTTCGTGGCAGCGGGGAGAACCAACAGTCTTAGGCAGGCACCTCCTGTCAGATCACAAGCCGGCTGCTCTGAAACGTCCGAAGGAGTGACAAAAACACAGGTCTTTGGGCGAGAGAATGGCGAGAGAATGGCGAGCGTCAACAATGGTGTGTGCTGTGACTATCACGAAATCTCTGGGTCCTCAGCCCGGGGCTGACCTCGACTTATCAACCGCATCACGGAGCTACTCCAACAGCAGCCATTCCCATGATCATGGGGCGGAACTTGCTCAGATTGGGTGGCAAGGTGTCCGCGGGCCTGTCTAGACCCGGAGCTCTACGTTAGGAAGAGCTAGCTACACCGAGCTGTCGCGTGGCGCGGTCTGGACTTTTCCGGAATTGGGCTGTTCGCGTTCTCGCCAACATGATCGCACCCATTCAGCTGGGAAGCCCGAGCCGCTAACCGAGACTAGTTGTCGCTCTGAGACATCTTCGACAGCTTGGCCGACAATCTTTCCCCAAAGCCTTTGAGTCCTGCACGGGTGAGCTTCCGGGAAAATTCGTCGACCGGCCGTGACTGGAGGCGGTGCTCATTATTGGGACACTAGGAAACCCCGGTAGCGATGAGCGGGTTGGCGACATCTTTATCCTCACGGCATCTATCTTCCGACAGTGTTTGTGAACGGAGCAGGAGGCAAGGGAGAGTCGCTAGCACATCGCAATGGTGTTAGGGGCTGAGGAATTTGCACTGATGACTATGTTTACTTCTGGCTCTATTTACAAAATTCCTGGGCAATCCTCCACGTCACAGCTGACGACGTCGTCAACATCGATTGGGACCATTCGCCGTCTTATGGATCCTCATATCAGGCTGCGCGAAGACCTTCAGTCATGGCATCTATGACTGCTGGTCCAACGGATATAGCGTGGTTTTTAAGATTAGGGTTTGTTGGAGGGTTCAAACCCTGGAAACATTCTGGAGTCAAGAAGAATCCTCGCTCCCCTTTGAGATTTCCTCCAAACATCGGTACGTCATGGGACCAGCAGATCATGCCTCTGAATTAGACATCGATTCGTGTCCCTATGTTCAGGTCGAAAGACTCGAGAGCCGGCATGGAACGCATTGCGAGAAAGACGGAAGTGAGTAGCGGCGTCAGAAGATGAGAATTAGTGGAGAGAAGACAAAGGGGCCCGGTCGGGTTTTCTGTTCTGGTAGTCAACAGGGTTGAAAGGCTTAACTGTGGGCAGTACATACCGTCCATAAATCCTTCATGCGGGCATGGCGTATCGTTATAGTAATGCTGTCTGTCAATAGTCATGCTTCCAAATCTGATCGTATACCACTTTAGACGTGGCCAAATCTCTGTTTCCGTGCCCATGACCCGCTTGGCAGAGAAGAATTCGATACCCAGGGCTTGATCTCCCAGACTTAAGTTGAAAAGTTCCATTGAACGTAGTTGAGAGACTCGACGAAGGGCAAGACTAAGAGGATCGGCATTTCTTGGGGACGCCATGCAGCCTTTCTCAATCACCGTAGTGGAAGACTTTCTAAGGTGGCAGAATAGGGCGAATTGATCGACTGACGAGAACGGGGTTGCGTTTAAGGCCCTCGCCAACGCATCTCTATACTTCATTTTTTGAATCTTCCGTTTGCTCAGCACGAGAATCCATACAAAGTCTCAACTTCGAAAACCCTCGCATTGAGCGGAGCAGCGATCTAAGCGTTTCGGGGTCGAGAAGATACCCTTGGTAGCTGAAACTTTTGATGCATCCTAGTGATGGAATCTGTCGGTTGGTCTCCCCGGAGAACTTGAGATATTGACCGCGTGTGGGAAAAGACTTGACCTCTCTCGGGTCGCGCATCCAGTTGGGAACTCCATTACAGTCCCATGCCCTCCCATCAAAATCAGCGGGGATACCCGGTGCCGTGACGTGGACGACTAAATGTATGCTGCTTTCAAGCTCGTGCTCCCATGAATGCAAAAGTCTCATGAGAGATAACATCTTATCGGTGAAGGCTTCGTTGTTTTTGGACGCCTTATACTCGAATTCAGTCTCATTATCGTGATCATTCAGAACCTTCGGGAGTCTGATGTAGACAACCAAAAATTCCAAGCAGGCACGACGGCACGAGCGGTCGTACCGAGCGTTGAGCGACTTGTATCCATCTTCATCAGTATGAACAGTGGCGTCGGCTAGAATCTGCTCAGTTGAGTGGCGCAAAGCCCTGTTCACGCTCTCGAAAGCCGTGAAGTCGGAGGGCTCGAGGTGCTCGGAGATTGTGGCGATGATCTCCAGTGGTAACGTGTCCATGTCGCTGGTGAAAAAGCTGATTTATCAACTTTATCTGGAGAGAGACTGAAACTTGATTTCGCAGTGTATTTGATTTCGAATTTGAGGACAAGAACTCGTGTCAAGAGGGTTTTATACTTTCGGGACATCGAAGTCACCATCTAGTGAATCGGCGCGGAACACCGTGATGTAGAGGATGGTGGTAAATCACTCTTTGACTAGCCAAGTCTGATTTCACACCACATTTCAATCGAGTGCATTATGTCTTTGCATAAGGGCAACCGCCTCGCCAAAGCATTGATGGTTGAGGTGCATAGTGCGTGAATTGCCCAAGCGAAACCATCAAAAATGCAAGCGCAACTGTGAGGACCAACAATTTCGACCTCTAAACCCACTAAATAAATAGATATCCAGCCATGAAACATGCGATAAATGGCTGGTTTGCCGAATAAGTTGTTTGATACGTCGTTTACATAGCTTGAGTGGTTACATGAACTCGTCGCAAGGGTACCTGGGCGTCACTTTGAATGAAAAAAACCAACTTCATAGTCAGCACCGCAGTTCCGAGGCTTGGAGCTCAATATGTTTCAACTAGTGGAAGTTTCTAGTCCAGATCTTCTTGTTTAAACAGGGGATCGTGCTCAAATGTCATCAAATGTCATCCGTCATACTATGGAAAGGCAAGGGGTTGTTGTTATTATCGCGCTGGCTTCCGCATGTCTTTTCTCGTCGGAGATCCGCAATGGGATATCGGCATTACCTATTTTGGCTTCTCCGAAATGCGTCGCGAGCCGCACTGAGGACATGTGTCTCCGCCGACCTGCAGAACCCCGCAACCCCACAAACATCATCCGAATCCATGTCCGTAAACACGAAGTCAATGTTGGGAGGACCTCATCCAGTGTCCACAAACTGCCATGTTCAAGTTCATCAACACGACGGATGGCCGTCCGCAGAAGCGCAAACAAGCGCAGCATGCGTGCGAGACGTGTCGGAAGCGAAAGGTCAGTCCGACGAGGCCCACTCAATGGCCCTCGCTAATGCTCGCGCCGCAAACATCACGGGATGGCCCTCTTGCTGGACCCGATGTCAATCGGCCAATCGGAGCGCATCTTTCTCTGATGACCGCCGTCGGGATGTTCAGAAAGAGTAAGCTGACTGAGGGTTAGAAACGATGTGAGCATCTAGACAACGCCGTCGCGTCTCCGCCCAAGACTCCCGATTCGGAGTCGGCGCGTGGCACGGCACGCCCGAGGCCAGCACGGAGGTCCTCGGATGCTATCTCGGCCGCTGTCCTAGCCGCCCCGAGGCCAACGCCGGCTCAGGCCCGGCCGCCGCCCAGTCCAACAACCACGGACCCGCGAGATCGACCGCGTCGATCTGTCGACGCCCAAGAACCTCCGTCGCGTCACCAGACGGTTGATGACGACCACGGCCAGCATGATGATGCCCGGTTCGTCGGTGACTTGAACCCTGAAGGTGCCTTTCTCGCCGACAGCCCGGGAACAAGCCGCGGATATGCAGAGTCAAATTCCGTAGGCGTCTGGTATTCCCGCCGAAATGTGAGGGGCAGCGAGATCAGCACAGAAGTGGCATCCGCTGTCTCAGCTGATCACGCCGAGCACCAATTCCTCGCTGTTCTTCCGAGGAGGGCCTACTACGAGAAGCTAGAGAAGATCTACCTCCGTGATGTCCACAGGATATTCCCCGTCCTCAACCTAGACATTCTCAAGAAGCCGGTCTCAACCACATCGCAAATCCTCTGTAAACAGGCCATCTGTCTGGCTGCAGGGTCCAGTCCCAGCGCCAAGCCATTCCTGAGTCTCGGAGAAGACTCGACAATCATTCTGACCTACCCAGAATTCGCCCAGCGATTATCCTCCGCCATTCGCAAAGCCATCGGTCTAGGATTGGTAAAAGACAGAGTCCAGACAACGGCAATCCTCGTGATTCTCTCACTGTACACCCATTTCTCCGAGGATCGGCATCTTTCAGCAGAGTTGGCCGCGCAGGCTGTCAGCAACGCGCAAACAGTCGGGCTTCATCTTCAAAACCCACCGGCAAGGAATGATGACCCAGCCTACCTCACTCGCCTGTTCTGCTGTGTCTGGGCTACGGACATACTCACCGCTGCCTTTCATGGCCGCCCTGTGATGATACACGAACGCGACCTTGGCAGGGATGTACAGGCGTGCATTCGAGAGCAAGATAGCTGCTTCCGCCTGTTTCTTGACATCGTGGCACTGTTGGGTCGAATAATCGATCTATATCGTCCGGCTCAGAAGACTTCGAGTTGTCTTGTCATGGAAGATCTCCCCAGTTTTGAGTGTCTGGTTGAAAGGGCCCATGCGCTTCGCGTCGATTCTCGACTGCTGGGTAAGTTGATCAATGGCGAGATCACGGGACGCTTTCAGCTGACCATTCCAGGATCCCTTGAACTTTTGTACCATGCCATCGCCATTCTCTCATGCAGAGTACCGGTTGGGCCGTCACCATCTGAGCACGCATCCTTAGCATATACGCGCCAATCCCTGTCCGCCATCAAAGTAACCACCATTGTGGAAGATTTCGGCGCCTCTCTATCTTACATGACATTTGTGCCATACGCCGTATCATTATCGTTGAGAGTCGCTTATCGAGAACTTCGATCCTGTAAAGTTCCGATGCTGACCGTCAGATCTCGACGGCAGCTCCAGGCAATTTGTCGAATACTCAGAGATCTTGGTGGCATGTTTCGATCGGCGTTGGTAATGGTTGATCTCGCTGAACAAGTTCTCCAGGAGATGGATCAAGTCTGCTCGAATGCGGCCAACAAGCAGGATGAACAAGGAGCAAATGGAACGAATGCAGCGAATACTCCTCGCCAGGAGGGCGCGCCTGATCAACAAGGGCCCGAAGCTGGAAACAACGCCATAGTTAGCACATTTCCAGAGCAGCAAGGGGACCTGATAGCGACTTTCGACCCATCTTTCTACGAATGCCCTGCTGGCCTCGACGTGTTCGAATACTTCGATCCTAGCTTCGACCTCAATGCCATCGACGCCATCTTGGGAGGTGACGCACCTCCTGAGCTCGGTAATATGGCACCCATGCCGTAGGTTGACCACTCGAGTTCAACTAGGAGATACTCCAGTCATACAGTCGATTTCTCGGCGGAGGTGCCGTATCTTTCAGCGTTCAATCAAAGAAAAAAGGTTAGGTGAAAGAAGACTCTGGGAAGCAAAAGGTTTTGAGCCCCAAGGAGATTTCAGAGATAGCTGTAGGAGAGAAACAGTGCCCACCCTTAGTCCAATCTCGAAGAGAAACTATGATACCAACTGCTGGGCAGATTGCTTCCGATCTCGCAAGGCGGCGCCTGTCGGAGATAGACCCAACCCCTTGCATATCCATGATCGGCTGCTCCAAACACTTTCCCACTAGGCAAAATGAAGATGGTGTCTAAAGCACCCACATGCCGCTTCTAATAGATATAGCCTGAGGTAGCTGCCCAACTCCGACTCTGGTCTCAGACCTCCTTGTCGGAGGCGGACTACCAGAAAAGGAAATCCAGGCGCCCGCTTTCACACCAGACACCCGGCAGTCAGCATAATTCCCAGCAGCATGGAAAGGTGTAATTTCTATTGGCTACCACATTCCTTTTCGAATTAAGCTTTGACTCCGCTCTGTCAGTATCTTGCGCTCCCCATGGGGTCTCCGCGAGACCCTCCGGGCGGAGTCACGATGTTAACCAGTCGCATCAGGGGGACGGCATATCGTCTCGTCCTTTTTAGCCATATAAATACCCAGCCTTCTTCAGCGCCAAGTCACGAAAGATTCGGTTGCACAATTCTCCCCCTTTCAATCTTCATCCCGTTTTTGCACTGACTATCTCATGGCGATTCTCAACGTCAATATTAGCTGGAAACAGCACAAATGGCCTCTATTCTACTGTCTCGTTTCTCTAATGGGAGCTTTTGCGTATGGATATGATACCATCTACTATACAGGCATTCAGGGCATGGCTCCCTTCATCCGAGACTACGGACACCAAAAACCTGATGGCACCTACGAACTTGGAACAACGTTTCTCTCCGTCACGGCCTCTCTAATCTACGTTGGAGAGTTCTGTGGCGCCCTGATCACGGCTCCTATCAACGACAGATGGGGACGAAAGGCTGTCTTTGCATCAGCATCTGCCTGTATCGTTGCCGGTGCCATCGTTCAAGTCTGTTCCTTCGGTAATTACGGCGTGTTTTGTCTGGGACGCGTTCTGATCGGTCTGGGCATCGGCCAGTTTACCGCAACATGCCTCATCTACATCAGCGAAGTTGCGCCATCACAGATACGCGGCCCGGCTCTTATGATGTTCCAGTTTATGCAGTCATGGGCTCAGCTCGCCGTGGCCTGCATCACTCAGGGGACATCGAACATCAATAACGCCGCGTCCTATCACATACCCATGGGGTTGCTCGTTGTCCTCCCAACAATAATGCTGATTTGCCTCCCGTTCATCCCTGAGACACCGGTCTGGTACAGTTACAAGGGTCATCACGACAAGGCAGAAAAGGCTCTTCGCAAGATCAACCGAGGCGTACCTCACTACGATGCCACAAACGATCTCCAGCTGATCAATGAACAAGTCCGACTGGAGTTCGAGTCGACAGCAGATTCAACTTGGATGTCTCTCCTCAACGATCCGATCGAACGAAGAAAGTTGATATCTTCATGCGGGGCGATGTTTGCGCAGCAGATCAACGGCATACAGTTCTGGTACACATATGGGGTGGTCTTTGCGCAGTCGATAGGGGTTGCTCAGCCTTTCACAATCAACACCATCACCAACGTCATTCAGATCTTCGCTGTAGGAGCTTCAGTGCTATTGGGCAACAAGATTCGCCGCCGAACGAACCTCCTCGTTTGCACGGTGGGCATGTTTGTCTCTCTGATTGCCGTCGGCGGACTCGGCACGACCAACCCTGGCGGCCCTTTCTCTCAGGGTGTCGGGACCGCGATTGTCGTATTTGCATACATCAACATTGTCT